CCACCACAAATAGGTATCGGGCAGTAGGGCAGGAACTATTTTTCATGAGAGGGGGGGCAAAACATAAAAAACCTAACAATAACTACTATAATATATTTATTTATAATTGATAACAGAAAACCTTTCTTAATATTTTATTCATTTAACGTTGATATAGGTAGTATATATAGGTAGGTATATATATTTTTTTTATTTAAAAGTTTACCAGCTAGTTTAACATAGCAAACGTTTACCAATAWATAAATGTATAAATTTAAAGATTAAATTTATACATTTATATATTGAAACAAAACATGAAACATATTTACTTTATACCTAAAGTTAAAATAACAGTATCTAAATAAATATAATAAATAAGTTTTAAAATAAATATATTTACTATATACCTGAAGTTGTATTCAAAAGTAACAATATATATTATACAGAAATATAAATAAATGAAATATAAAAAAATTATTTAATTTATTTAATTTATACCTTAAGTTATATTCTAAAGTAACAATATGTAAATATATAAATAAATATAAAATAAAAATAATAAATAAAATAAAATAAACTTCACAAAGGTTATTTTTTAAAAAGAATTACCTATAAGATTAATAAAAATTTCCAAATGTTGATTTCGTTTGTGAAGTTCTGGAAACAAATTCTTTGGCAATTAATTTCAAATCAATTTTTGCTGTCATATAGACTTATGAACGTATAAAATCAACATATGAGTTAATCTCTTTTGGGTCATTATGGACCTCAGATATGTTTTTAGTCTTCTGAATGTTCTAAAAAAAACGTTCAGCAGTCGCTGCAGATGCTGGTATTATTAAAACTAATTTAAAAAGCTTGGTGATTTCAGAAAACAAAGAATCTTTTACATTTGAATATTCATTTCTCAAATGATTTATAATATCTGAAATACTAGTGATAGATACTATAGATGGTAACCTAAAAATCTGTGCATGGAGTTTATTAATGTCAAAATCCTCACTCATATTATTTAAACAATTAGTAAGTTCGATCGTAAGTCCTTCGCTAATTATTCAGAGCCTCAGAGGCTTATCCAGAAAAACTACAAGATTTTATATAGATAAGTAGATATTTCTTGTGAGAGGATGCTGCTATATCACCAGCCTTTTGTTTTATTTTCCCACATTTGTAGCATAGAAAATGTCATTGTTAGAATCAGTTGTATATTGTCAGTTTTAAAATTGGAGTGAATTGACTATTGACCTTTTACCAAACTTAAAAGTAAAAACACTGTCTGTAATGAAGTATAGGTTTATTTTTAGCAAGGCATGAGTAGATATGTATTTATTATTTAATTTATAAACACTACAAATTAAAAATGTTTGTATCTCACCTAAAAATAGAAATACAAAAATATTTGATGCTCAAGCCATAGATGATGTTCACACCAGAGTCCTTACCTTTCAGTTTAATAATAATTTTCATTTGCATTAATTCTTGTGAACGGACATTCTATGTTGTAYGTGCAGACACGGACTATCTAGTAAAAAGAGCACGGGTTGCTACATACGTAATTTAAAGGCAAATTTAAAATATGTAAATTATTTTTAAAATATTAAAATAATTTATTTTATTTCAATAAAATATTGAAAATACATAAATAGATAGGCATCTACAAAGTTACAACAAACATTCAAACAAAATCGTACAATATTAGATTAAAAACAATTTATTGACATTGATTTAAATTTTGTTTTAAGTATTATTTGTAATAATATATAGTTCATAGAAATTTGAAATCGAATTATTGGATTGGTAGAAAATATAAAATATAATAATGACAAACAATTTACTCGTGAGTTTTCTCTCGGTAGATACATATTATAATCTCTTAATTATTTTTATGAATGTTTAGGTATTTTATTGTATTTCTTATTAAAAATAACCATTAGATAGATAAATAATTACCAAAGATACACAAATTATAAGAATTAAAATTTATTTTTCATTATTATCGCTCAAACCAAAAACAGTATTTTCTTTGGAATTAATTTCTTCAATATTATCACTTTCATTTGTTTCTAATTCCTCCAGTCTTTTCGTCATATTCATGTTCTCTTGTTGAAGTTTGGCAATCTCTTGCATTACGATATCATACTCTTCTTCTAACTTTGTTAACTCCATCTTTTCAGGGATAACTTCAGCCATATTCATACGCATGAATCTATCATTTTTATTTTTAAAATATGTATAATAATATGTTCAATATCGTTATATATCAGATATATGAGTTAATTTATTTTTTAAGGTACCTAGCTATACAAAATGGTATATAATTTATTCTAAACCGTAAATGATAAAAGGTTAATATTTTACTGTACATGGGGAAATTAAGAACCAACCTTAGAATATATAGCGAATAATGGTTGTGTATGTCTAAAATTCAATACATATGAATTAAAAAGCTAAAATATATATAACGTATATCTATTATATCGAGATATACAGTCATACAGATGTATAGTATATTTTATAATAAAAAGGTTAATTAAATAGGTAGGTACAACGGTTTAGGTATTTAAAAATCATCAAGATACTATGCTCACCTAATTGTTTTTTTTTACTATTACTATATCAATTGGAAAATTTAAAAAAAAGTAGGCAAAATGTAAGTTTGAATTCTAAAAGTATACTACTTGAACATATMAATATTTTTTAAACTAGATAATGTGATGATCTGAAAAATATTATTGCAAAAGAATATAGATATAATATAATTGAATCCTACATTGTAATAATAAATCAGAAAATCCTATTAACACGGAATATGGACAAATATGTTATTAATTTACTCAATGTTGCTGAACTCAGAATGTTTTTGTGAAGCAAAATTTAAAATTAATCGTTCACTTAATAAATTGTTTAGCCATCTAAATCATCTAATATGATATAAAAATACACTAAATTATGTATAGAACACCTAAATTTACTATATAATTATAGAATGTTTAATAAGTAAAATGTAGCAATTTTATATTAGGTACCTATATATATATATATATATATATATATATGTATATTTATATTGCTTATAAAAACATTATTTAAATAATTTAAATATTAATTAAAAATATCAAAATACTTACCTATGTAAAGCATATTAAGTATTATAAATTTTACCTTACTTATAATTTAAACAGCCAATTTACAATAGGTTCTACAATTTAACTTACCAAAAGGCATAACAACTAATAATTATTAGTCTACATAATTTAAAGTTTTAGACACTGTGGGTTAAAGTTAATTTGAATTAATAATAATGTGTAGGTACATTTAATTAAATGCAAGTAACACAGGTGCATACAGGTAGATCATATAATGCGGGTACTTATAGTTTTTAATTCACACAAATAATTAATGAAACTATAATATTAATGTATGTGATCTAAAATAATATCAAGGAACTTTAAACTACCTATAGTAACAATACCCAGGATTGGTTTTCAGGGGGGGGGGCTTAAGCCTAAAAGCTCACTCCCTAGTCCCTGGATATCTCACTGTATAGTAAATAGTATAATTATTATAGTATATTAAATTCCTACAAGGTACAATTGGTACATAATTACTACTAATTTTTTAATACCTAATTTATAATCATAAAAGTTCTAATTTTCAGTAGGTTATTGTTAACTTCTCCCGGGGAAATAACGTCAAAAATCTATCCGCCGGACCGAAAATCGAACTCGGGTCTCTCGCTAGCCGGGTGATTGCTCTACCAATAAGCTAACCGACCCACATAGACCCATGACGCTATATCCCCAAGTTAACGGATGTTTACAATATTATAAATGAAATAGTATAAAACCATAATTATAATATATTTAATAGGGAAATTTGTAATAAATACTCGAGTGGATCATCCGGTTTTTCATCCATTTCATACAACAGCTTTAAAACATCAGTCACTTTAGAAATAACGCCAGTTTTTTCTAAATAATTTGTAATTTCTTCAGTCATTCTATTAATTGGGAAGCAGTTTTTTTGTATTTGAGACTTGGGAAAAAAAATGTAATGTCAATTAATAGGTAGGTATATACTTTAATACTTAGCTAGGTACTATATCCCAGTAAGGATATTTTAAAGTATACCTAAAATGTTTATTATTATGAGCAATGTTTTGTCAAATGCAGAATACAATATAAAAACAATATTAAGCCATAAATGTTACCTTAAAATCCAGATTTTTTAAAGTATAAGCAACTCAATAGAGTAACTATTACTTAATATTAATAATGATCATTATGATTGATAAATATATGTTATACTTAATAGTTAATATTATAATACATACCTATACTTATACTTAATTAATACAATACATTTTTTTTTTTGACTTTTTTTACTAGAGAATATATACAATCTATGCACAAATGCATAGGGTAATAAGAATATGTGCTACAGTATGATTAAAAAAAAACATGAATACGATGAGGGAAGAAACCATTCAGTGATCGCACTTTCTCTTATTAACTTGATTCTATTTACTAAATTCAAATATTTAGATAGGTATTATAATTTATGTAGCTATTTATGTCAATAAAAGGAAAAAACTTAAACTTGTTAACAAAACGTGAGGTTAGGAAATAAATATAGGTAATAAGATTAGCAATTTAAGTCAGAAATATTGCTTTTTGTTTTAAGGAATATAAAGTGTTACCCTTTTGACCCCTCCCCCCTTCCACCAGTTTAATAGCTATTATTAGATATTCTATTGCACATAGTTAATGGTTGTACATACATGCAGGTCATTAGTATCATCTTCAGCCATAATAAAAAACAATATTTATTGTTTACCTCAAAATAATATTCTAGTCGGAGCGTTTAAAATATTTGCATACTACATTCAATAAGATTCACTTAAAATATATCATTGACATTATATTCCCAATAGTTACGATGTTATATGTTATAAATTATATAATAGTGTATCAAACGGTTCCCATGGTTATTGTTTTCAATGAAATCAAACCAGAAAATTTGAAACGTGTACAAAATTATACAAATTAAAAATGAATCTATACATTATCTAACGGCTAGCTTAACGCTTTACATAAATTGATACTTTTTTAACCAATTCCTAAATGTGATTATGACTTTTGGTACAGTTACAGTACAGTACCTATACATATTTTTAATATTTCTATTACAGATAATCGTAAATATATCCATAGACTATAATATATTTATYGAAACGTACAGAAATAAAATACAGAATAAATGAGATTAAGATACAGAATAAATACAGAAATTATTTTTAGGGTGGGCTATAATATATAGAACCTAACAAATGGACGGCTTTGTGAGAAGGTAGTCAAGTCAAAAATTACAACTTTTCAGGAGACAATAAAAACGTATTAACTAATGACATTATAATAAATAATAATTTATATTTTATAAAGCCAAATTTTACTTAAAACTACAAGTTGCTATGATTTTGAAAACAAAATTTAAACATATTTTATAATTTTTAGTAGACTTATCTAGTATTACACAAAGAATTTATCAAATTACTGACTTGTCATATTGTGCACATAATGACTTGTCCATATTATCACAGACTAAAATTAAATTACCAACCTACTTCTGACCTGTCGACTGTTGCACATATGACTTATCAATTTTATCACAATCTACTAAATAAAAATATAATATACTTAATACTTATCATCTTACCTGCTTTGTAGTTCATTGTTTATGGTTTTAAAATTACTTAATTACAATATTAATACTATAAACCTAATTATTAAATAATATATAATACACATATTTCAAACAATAGACATCATACTATTTATTTATATAAGTAACAAGAAAAAAAACTTCCAAACATTTTTTTGTTAATGTGAAATAGATTTTCATTTGACTTAATGTAATAARCCATATTATCAAAACTAGTAAAGATAAAAATATATGTGATGTTGTTGTGTAACGTGTAACGTGTAAATGTAGGGTTTGAGATTCTTCGAGTCATATTTAAAGTCATAAATGGTAAATCTTCAGCTAAGGAATTTTTGTACATTACTTTGTCTTTATTTTCTTTGGTGTAACCATTTAACATTCTTAAAAACAAATGGGGCTCCCTCTCCATTTTTTTTTTTTAATATTATATTTTTTCTTCAGTAAAGTGTTAAAATCAAAAAATTTGTTTTGATCCATTTCAAGCACACAAAATTTATCTTTTCCAGCAAAACGAATGAGCTTAACCCAATCGTATGGGTGATTTATGGAAGAAGGATATTTTTACGAGTTTTTTCTATCCTGGCGTGGTCGGAATCGCATTCCATTCTAGAATGTCCTGGAACCATAAATTTGTGATCAATTGTTTTTATGGTGTWTTGAATTTCCAAAAAGTATAAACACATAGCCATAATTATGCCATTTTTATTCTGTCCGGGGCAGCAGTCACTATACATTACAATGTGTGATACTTCTTTGGGTAAATTGTTCAGGTAATGGTAAATGCATGAGCTAATTTCATTAGCACCTCTTTTTGCTATTGATTCATAGGGAATCGGACATTTCGGCATGGCTGTTTCGGCACGGCTATTTCGGCGCGAACACTAATCGGCGCTGGGCATTTCGGCGCGAAGAAATTTCGGCGCCGCAGGTATTAATATACAATTTAAAAAATACAAAATAAATAATATTACCTATATCATTATTCCAATATTATAATTTTAAAAAATACAAATAAATATATTATTCGAATATTACAATCTTAAAAAATACAAATAAATATAATGTTGATAATATAATGTTAGATAAATAAATTAGAAAAAAAATGAATTAATATAAATAAAATGTTAATAATATACAATTGAAATTTATTTTAAAGAAATATTATGAGCGATTCCTTTTAAATACTCAATACAATTTCTTATATTATATTCGCTTACTATTTTATATAATCGGTGATTTAGGTCAGTGTATTTTTTTAATTTTTAGGGGGACTCCCTCCAGCAGTTAGTTRCGCTATAACAACATYGTGGCCTGTTTGAACCCTTCTCAAGCAATTTATAAATGTCCAAATTGTTGGGCCACACACTCCCAWTTCAATATTTAATCTCCTATTTGCTGCCTCAGCATGATTRTTTGTCCTATTTTCAGAATTTAAGACTCTATCATATAGATTCCAAATTTCTGGAGGGAAACGCGCATTTCTTCTTCCCCGACCATTACGGTTAGTTCACATTAGTTATTTGACATCTTAATAAGAAATTTTTATACTGAATATTACTGATCGACTATTCGACTATGGCTGACTTACAAACTACAGTTAATACTCTACATGTCTACGGTCAGACGGTCGATTCATCGCTTTATCTTAACTGCTGGTACCTACCTTTATCTTACCTATTTAATCGGTTTTTACGTTACACAATAACAGCTATATTTGGCTGGATTGTACTATTGATGATTACGGTTATTTTTCATAATTTTATTTTAAAAAAAAAATATTACGAAAACATTTAAGACTAGGTATAGTTAGGTTAGCCGCGCCGAAATGCCCAGCGCCGATTTGTGTTCGCGCCGAAATAGCCGTGCCGAAACGGCCGTGCCGAAACGGCTGTGCCGAAATGTCCTAGATCCTGATTCATACCATATATAGCAAGAAGCTTTTGAATTAGCAGAGTTATGAACAGATAAGTTGTACTTCCATAACTGCCTTTTATAAAATGCCACTGAACTTTCTAAACTTGGAGTAGGCAAACATTGTTGTAAGTCAAAAGAAATCGTACATTTTTCATTTGAATTGGATGATATATCGTTTCTTTTTGTTTGATATGCCGCTTCAGCATCATTCTGATGGTTATTTCTTTCTTCAAGTAATATTTCTTTTTCGGCTGTTTGTATATTATAATTTGCAAGTTTGATCTTAAATTTAKCACAATTAGCACATGTATCCTTTTTTGGATTTTAAACTTTGAAATTTGATGCCTTAAAATACTTTTCATAAAGAGTCCGACTTATTGGTTTATCTACAGTCTTTATATAATCTCCATAAGCTCTCTGAAGTGTAAAGTATGGAGGAAGATACTTTTTGATAGTCTCTTTTCTACAGTAGTGACTCTCATAAACTGGTAATTTATTTAAATGATCTGTTACCATTTTGATATCATAAGTGGATCTTTTATTTTTAGGTGGATCACTACCTCTCTTGTCAGGTGAACATGTATTTGCTAGAGAAGTTAAGGAATTATTACAAACATTTGTTAAAAACCCTTTTTCCTCACCAAAGATTTTTAAAAAACACCCTTTACAAACTGGTATATTTGTTTCATATTTTGGTATTACATAATGGAATACCTTTTCTCTAGATTTTTGCTTTTCAGGTGTATCTCTTCTTTTCCTCACAACCTTCTTATTAGAGCTAGTAATCAAGCTTGATAAATAAGCTCTACGTCTGTTATAATCATTCATAGACCAATATAAATTAAATAACTGTGTTCGTAAATCATCATCAACATTTGCTTTGCAGTCATTTCTACAGTTAGGAAGAGATTCTGATGTTCGAGCCAAGACCTGTTTCCCTTTATTAGTAGTATACTCTAATCCATGATTTCTCTTTTCCTTTCTATACTGTCTATACTGCCTAGTATCTTTTATTCTGCTTATTTTTTTCTTTCTATTTTTAACAATATTTTCTATGTTATTACTGTACCATTCTTCAGTAACATGGTTTGACTCAGGTGTGCCCATCACAATRCTAACTCCTCCATCCGAATCTAGCATATTATGCATTTGAAATATGTTACTAGATTTAGGCCCACAAACACTTTGCTCATCTGGAATCATGTCCGTACAAACTACTTCCTCTTGGTAAATTTGACCATCAAACAAATCTTCATCCTAAAATATTTAATTTTTAAAATAAAATTAATAGTAAAAGACATATTATATATACATATTAGTTTAAGACTAAAGCAGTGATGGGAAATGAAATTACCATTTGTGAAATTTTTGAGAATATATATACCATAGATCAAATTGTAATAAGTTACAAAAATACATTTTAACACATTAATAGTAAAATAATAATTTCTATTTAACATGAGTACCTATTAACTATTTTAATATTAAAACATAAAAATAAAATAAAATAAAACAATTTTATAATATAAGATATCTTATATTCAATTATTAACTAACCTGAACTATATTATCAATGTTCTTTGATAAAGGATAGTACGATTCTTTTTCCATTTCATTGTTAATTTCAATGATATAATCCATCCCATTTAATTCAATGGTCTGTTCATTAGTTGCTAAACATTTGACACCATGTATCTAATATTAATAAATAACAAACAATACATTAGAACTAATAATGATAGAAATTGATTGGCACATCRCTTAAACTTACATCCAAATTTTGTTTTATACTACTACCAGCAGCTGATGTTTCTTCTATCCATTCCTTAAAAGTGAATGAAATAATCAATTAAAATTATGTAATGATTAAATATTAAACCATAAATATTTAAATTAAGCTAAAATGTTTTCAATAAAACAGTATTTTTTGTTGAGTATGAAGTGAATTTTGTAGACAAATGGTATATGCCTATTATTGAAAAATAAAACTAGGTTTACAGTGATACTATTCTTTTTCTKTAATAATAAAGGTCAAAAAATTACCAATTAAAAACATAAGCATACCTACATCTCATTCAATTCAACCAGAATCTATCATCTTACAAACCAGTACTGTTAATTATAAACAAACATTAAATAATTATATATTAAATTAGACTCAACAAGTTTCTTAAA